AGATTTCCCTCTGGAGATCAAAACAGTGCCAAGGAAGATGTTAATCTCTGGCTTCAGGGGTTATAGCATTTGACCTAGGTTAAGTCCATCAGTGCATTTCACATTTCTTGGCCACAGTAATAGAGTCAAGAATGGTCATACTCATATTACCTAACCAACTACAATCAGAGAAAGTCTCAGAACTTTTGCAGTGAACAATGGGATAAAGACACTCTCATTTTTGCTGAACCTGAATGAAGCCCATAGCCCAGGGAGCTGCTGCAAGTGAACATGAAATCCAGCCTTCAGGAATTAGCAGCATAAGGCAGAAGAAATAAATTAAAAAAAAGGTCAAGGGTTCGGATCCCTGTACCAACCAGCCGCCAAAAAAAAGAAAAAGAAAAGAAAAGAAAAAAAGAAAAAAAAATGGAGTTCTTGGCAGCACTGAGTCTTTCCTGAAACCAGTACTGCCTCTGTACTTTTTTGTTACATGAACCAATAAATTTCCTTCACTGTTGAAACAATTTTGAGTTGTTTTTATTACTTGCAACTGAAAGCATCCTAAGTGAAACATACTTCCAAGAATTAGGGAAACAAATGGTACCTTTTTTCTTAATTGGCAATGCTCTGTGGTCCCCTATACATGTTAAAAGCTTCTAATAAAAAGAGGATTTCCAAAATGGTTTTAAATGATGCAACATCACCAAAATAAATGACAACCCTGAATGAAATATTTGAATATGAAATGTATAGCCTATTTCCTAAAAAAAAAAAGGAATCACATTCTTTAGGTTATCTAATAAAACTTTCACATTCCCAAATACATGCACATTTGCTCAGTGTGCTTCTCATATTTTCATATTTTAAGATCAATTCATGCTTGAAACACACTCTTCTAACTCAACAACCCTTTCCTCTCTTTCATTTCATTCAGGTTTTCAAATTCAGGCTTCTCTGTATTTGAAGCATTTGAATTTACTGGAAGACAGGTTAAGGAAAAACTTCCGTAGAGGTAAAAAACTGGGGAATGACATCACTCTGTTTCATCCAGTTAGTAGCTGAAAGTTGTTGGACAGTTTTAGAGAAAGGAAGACATAGTGGAAAGAGTAGGACTGACCAATTCTTCCTAGAGAAGACAGAGGCCACAGGAAAGGAATGCTCTAAAGAGCAGACTGCAGTAATTCAAGAGTCTGGAAGCAGAGACAGCAAGAAGAGCAAAAGATGATCCTAAGCTCCAGGAACTACATATAGTTGTCCTTTACTGTACTCCCAGCACTTAAAACAATGCCTGCCACCTGACAGCCGCTCAATAAATAACAGTTCACTGAATGAATAAATGAAATGGAAACATTTTCTGAAGGAAGTTAAAGGATTTGAACATCCTCTGTCTGTAAATGATGATGGATAAGAACTAATTCAAAGATATTTATTGGGAGATCTATTAAAAGTACATACCCAAGTACAAGGTGGTATACAATGATCACACTTAATACGTGCTTTAGAAGTATTAGAAATATAATGAGCAGAGTGTTTCCATAATTATAAAGAATCTGGGCAGGAGAAGGTTTTGCTATAAATATTAAGAACTGCCTTTGTTATTTCATTGCACTGTCGTTTTGACAATGAGAGATGTGTGAAAAAAATCAAAAGCACAGAAGTACATCTAGAATAAAATAAAATAAAATAATTGGGGCCGGCCAATTTTTTAAAAAAAATTATTATGGCCAAGTTGGTTGGTTATAACACCAAGGTCACGGGTTGGGATCCCGGGATCCCCGTACCAGCCAGCCGCCAAAAACAAAACAAAACAACAAAAAAATAGAATAAAATAATCCATAAAAAGACAGCACTACAACTGAGGTAATATATACTGGGAAATCTGTCCTTCTAGAACCATATACCAGAAGTTGGAATGTGGAACTAGACGGGAATAACTTATTATTTCTAATAACAGAAATAATAATAAGGTGGTTAAAGACGCTACAGAGGGAAGCGGAGGGAGGCATATTAGATGAGAAGTTACATAGCCATCTGGAATTGGAAGGAAAACACAGATGCAAAGGAAAAAAGTGCTGTTCAATTTTGCAACAGCATGACCCGCTGGGAAGAGGCCAGTAAGATGAAATTACAGCACCTCTGTCAGCGACTAAGGGGTCAGGCAATGGGAGGTTTTAGCTGAAATGGCACGTTCTGACCTGAGGCGCGACTTAGGGCTTCTCCTGTTTGCCTTGTTTTGACTTTAGCAGGTGAGAGGAAAATTTCAATAACACAAGCTTCAACCTAAAACGATGGGGCTAAAGAGAAACAACCGAGGGTCAGGGCAGAAGGAGGAGCAAGACCGGACCCAAAGCATTCTGAAAATGTGGAGGTTTTGACTGGAGTGCGACCGGAGGGCACTGTTGGGGCGGCACCAGAGCAGTCCCTGCTCCCCTTGCCTGGGGACATGTGACATCTCGGGAGGTGACAGCCCGGAGGAGATTCCTGGGGAAGCGGGGAAAGGTCAACACCCCCACTCCCGACGACGGGTGCAGAGAAGGCTGCGCAGCCTTGAACACAGAACCGGGCCCAGGTGCAGTCGGCCGGCGTCCGGGGAGATCCGCGGGACTGAACGGCGTCGGGGTCCCCGTCGCCGGGGCCACAGGGCAGGGCGGCGTGCGGGCCTC